CGCCCAGGCTCAGACCTGCCCGGGTCCAGCGGGCCCAGGGGGAGCGGAGTCCTGGGCCCGGAGGAGCCAGGGTTACTCCCACCAGCCACGGGCAGCCGCTCCCTCTGGACTATGGAACTGACTTTAAGGAAAAGGTAACAGATGTGCCCAGGCAGCTCCCTCAGCTCCGGACACCGCCGCCCGGCCGCCCACCAGGCTGAGTTGTGCGGTGCACACAGGCCCGGGGGCAGGCGGGTGCCCGGTCCGGGAACGCTCTGCTCTGCCCGGGTGAAGGGCCCTGCTGCTCCCTGGGGGGAGCGGGTCAGGCTGGGCAGCGCGGCCCGCCTCCTGGGCTCCCGCTCTGAGCACTGAGGCCGATGGAGGACAGCCCGGCCAGCCTGCTCAGGGGCTGAGCATCGACCCATAAACCAGGAGCTCAGGGTTCGATTCCTCGTCAGGACACATCCCTGGGTTGTGGGCTCCATCCCGTGTGGGGCGTGCAGGAGGCAGCCGATCCATGATTCTCTCTCATCATGGATGTTTCTCGCTCTCCCTCCCTCTCCCTTCCTCTCTGACATCAATAAAAATATATATTTTTAAAAATAGATGGAGGACAGGGAATGGGTCTGAGCTGCCACGGGGGCCTGGGGTCTGGAGGAGTCCCACCGTCATGGCACAGGGCACTGAGCCAAGCGGTGGGATCCCTGGTCAGCACGGCCTGAGGGGCCCCTTAGGAGGCCAACTCCCAGCCCACCCACCGCCCCGATAGGCCAGGTCACCCCACGCAGGACGTGCCCAGCAGAATAGGGGCCCCCAAAGGTGCCGTGTCTCCATCCTGGGACCAAGGCCTGCTGACCGCATGGGGACAGGGATCTGGCTGATGGGATTACGTTAAGAGGCTGGGCACGGGGCTTAGCGGGATGATCTATCCGCCCGGCCCCACCTCGTCACCAGGCCCTCGGACGGGAGAACCATCTGCGTCCGAGGGACGTGAGGGAGGAAGGACTTCGAGATGGAGCTCAGCCGGCTTTGAGACGGGGAAGGGGAGTGGCCACGGAGGGGGAACCTTCTAGAAACCAGAGAAGTAGAGCGGCCGTTCTCCAGGGCGCTGAGCTGGACTCCAGCCCACAGCCCCCTGCAGACGGGGCTGAGAGACCGTCAGGGTGGGGAGCTGGGGACTGGGAGCCTGGCTGCCTGCGCAGTGGCCACCCCCCCGCGAGGCCTCTGGTTCTCGGGGTCCCGTGGCGGGAGAGCTGCCGCCTCAGCGCGGCCTGAGCCCCCGGAGACCCGTCTGGAGGAAGAAGCCCCTCCGTCCGAGTGAGCTGAGCTTCCCCACTGTTGTCACCACGCCCGATCCCAGAGTGAACTCGGCCGGCGGGTCAGTGGGTCCCACCTGCCCCTCCGTGGCGTGTGCCCTGCAGGCCCCCTGGGGCAGGCACACATCCCGTGTGGCCCTGCGGGGCGGCCTCATCCCCGATGGGTGCCTTGTCCCCCCGCCGTGCTCACGGGCCCATGGGCATGAGGGGGAGGAGCTCAGCCAGTGCACTGAAAAGGCAGCGGAGCCCGGCCAGCTGGCTCAGGGGCTGAGTGGCCACCTCTGAGCCAGGAGGTCAGGGTTCGAGTCCTGGTCAGGGCACAGGCCTGGGCTACGGGCTCCATCCACAGTGGGGGCGTGCAGGAGGCAGCCGATCCAGGATGCTCTCTCATCATTGATGTTTCTCTCGCTCTCCCTCTCCCTTCCTCTCTGACATCAACAAAAATATGTTTAAAAAAAGAAAGGCAGATGGAGAATCTGTGGACGCCGTCAGCTCGTGCGGCCATGGCGGCCCCGTTGGCTGGGGGCAGCCTGTGTGGGGCTGAGCCACGGCTCTGTGGTCGGACAGGAGTGGCCCTGCCCCCAGCTCCGGAGCTGGGCACCTGGGCCCGAGGGCACGCCCTCTCCTGCTCTGTGCCTCAGTCTCCCGACCTGCAAAATGGGGGTATTGACATGGCCCCGAATTCGCAGAATTAACTGAGAAACGCCTGGGTGGGGTGCAGGCATGGTGGCCGGTGGCGGGGACCCTGCACCTGTCAGTCGCTGCCGCCCTAACCCTGGGCACCTGCGAGGGGACAGCCGCCCTTGTGTCTACGCGCAGGGCCTGCGGGAGCGAGAGAGACAGCGCCGGTCCCCGCCAGGACCAGTGTTCCTACCGGCTCAGTGGGGTTTCCTTCGGAAGCAACGCCAGGGGCAACCAGAGGGCCAGCCCTGCCCCTGTGGCCAGGCCCCTGGGACTCCCTCCCCGTCCTGTCCTCCCCCCCCCTTCAAGCCTCACCTGGATGACGCCTCCCCCTGCGCCCCCCTTCTCGGCCAGAAAGGCCTCAGGCAGCCGCAGCATCTTCCCCAGCCAGTCCAGCATCACCGTCTCCAGCTCTGTGCACGCCGGGCTCGCCGCCTGCGGGAGGAGCACCGCCCGCTGCCCTCAGCTTCCTGTCGGGTCCCGGGACCCGGACCGAGCAGCACAGGCCCTGCCTCCAGGAGGCGTCACTGGGCTGCTCTGGGCCCCGAGTACCCCCATCTCTGCCCTTGGGAACAGAGAACCGCCCTCCAGGCCCAATCCCAGGTCCGCCCGGGAGGCCATGTGTCCGTGTGCGAGGGCATCCCCACCCTCGGACTTGGCTCCTGGAGGTGCCGCCCCTCCCCGTTCTCTGCCTCAGTTCTCTGGGGGCTGGTGTATGCACAGCTGCAGGGTGTCATCCGCCAGGGAACCCGGGTTAAAATCGTCCAACCCCAGGCCCGGCCGGCGTGGCTCAGAGGTTGAGTGTCGACCTATGAACCCAGAGGTTACGGTTGGATTTCCGGTCAGGGCACAGGCCCGGGTTGCGGCTCCATCCCCACTGTGGGGCGTGCAGGAGGCAGCCGATCTATGGTTCTCTCTCATCACTGATGTTTCTCTCTCTCTCCCTTCCTCTCTGAAATCAGTAAAAATATATTTAAAAACTGTCCTATCCCAGCTGCTCTGCGAAGCCGGAGACGCACTCAACAGGGGCCCTTTGCCCGAGACGCGTGGCAGAGTGGCCAGGGCGACGCAGTGCTCCCGGCAATGACCCTGCCACAGGGCACGGGCATCGTGTGCGCTCCGTCAGCACCTGCCCCTTATGGAAGGCTGGTCACACCGAGCTATGTGGGCCTGGCTCGGGAGCTGGGTGTGGGGCCCTGGTGGCTCTGACGTTGCCTTCGACACCCGAGCTGGTGCCCTAGAAGCTCTCCAGGCTTTGCAACTGGGGGCAGGTGGCCGTGGCCGCACGCGGGATGGGCGTGCCTCCCCCTTGGCGTGGGGTTCACGGGGCTCGGGGGCGCATGGCTGGTGACAGCAGGCGGGACCCTCTCTGCCCGTGGCCCTGTGTGTCTGAGGGTGAGGGTCCCCCAGTCCCAGCTAAGCCAGCGTGGCCACGGGATCCGGCCTCGTGGTGGGCAGTCGGTCCCGGCAGACAGCAGCCTGACAAGCCCCGGGAGGTCTGACTGTCCCCAGAAAGGGCACACACAACAGGAGGGAGGGGCCAAGTCACCCAAACGGACAGGGCGGCTCTGGACCTGCAGAGCTGTGACCTCTGCCGCCGTCTCTAAGGGAACAGACGACCTTGCGTCCGAGGCCAGGAGCTCCAGGGACAGAGCGAGGCAGTCCAGGTCACGGTGGCTGCGCCCGGGCTACTGGCCCCGCAGAGGAGGCTCGAGCCCCTGAGAGGGCAGGTCAGCACTGGGCAGGCAGCGGGCACCCTCAACCCTC